AATACTCAGGTACTAAGTAAGTCAAATTTGAGTTGCAATTTTGTCAGTTCTAGATCTTCTCTGATAAAAATTTTAATTATTATGCAATTCCTCCCCTCATTTTTTTCTTTTCCATCTCCTTGTTCTCTTTTCAATATTCTGGAATCTGTTAAACTAAGCTTCATAAGGAGGTTTTGTAAGGTAGACTTGTCCAACCTGAGGTCAGGTAGGGCACTACAGACAAAGAATGATAGGGAGCAGAACCTGTAGTATGAAGAAGAAAGCTTCTTAAATTGTATTATAAAGCAGCAATCATCAAAACTACTTGGTACTGGCTAAGAAATAGAGTGATGGATCTGTTAGGTTAGGTACACAAGACATAGTAGTCAATGACTATAGTAATCTACTGTTTGATAAACCCAGAGGCCTCAGCTTCTGGGATAAGAGCTCACTATTTGAAAAAAAAACTGCTGGGAAAACTGGAAAAGAGTGTGGCAGAAACTAGGCATAGACCAAAATCTTATACCCTACACCAAAATAAAGTCAAAATGTGTACACAGTTTAGATATAAAGGTTGATACTATAAGCAAACTAGGAGAGCAAGGAATAGTTTACCTGTCAGATTTATGGAGAACAGAAGAATTTATGACCAAACAGGAGATAGAGAACATTATGAAATGCAAAATGGATAATTTTGAATACATTAAATTGAAAAGTTTTTGCACAAACAAAGCCAATGCAACCAAGATTAGGAGGGAAGCAGAAAACTGGGAAAGAATTTTGACAACCAGTGTCTCTAATAAGGGCCTCATTTCTAAAATATATAGAGAACTAAGTCAAATTTATAAGAATACAAATCATTCTCCAATTGATAATGATCAAAGGATATGAATAGGCAGTTTTCAGATGAAGAAATTAAAGCTATCTATAGTCATTTGAAGAAATATTCTAAATCAATATTAATTAGACAAATGCAAATCAAAAGAACTCTGGAGTACCATATTACATCTATCAGGTTGGCTAACATGACAAAACAGGAAAATGATAAACGTTGGAGAAGATGTGGGGAAATTGGAACATGAATGCATTGTTGGTGGAGTTGGGAAATGATCTAACCATTTTGGAGAGCAATTTGGAACTATGCCCAAAGTGCTATAAAATGTGCATACCCTTTGACCCAGCAATAGCACTTCCAGGGCTATATCCCAGAAAGATCATACAAACGGGAAAAGGACCCACATGTACAAAAATATTTATAGCAGCTCTTTCTGTGGTGGCAAAGCATTGGAAATTGAAAGGATGCCCATCAATTGGAGAATGGCTGAACAAGCTGTAGTATATGAATGTAATGGAATACTACTGTGCTATAAGAAACAATGAACAGGCTGACTTCAGAAAAACCTGGGAAGACTTGTATGGACTGATGCTGAGTGTAGTAAGCAGAACCAGGAGAACATTGTACACAGTAACAATCCTGGTGTGAGATGACTAACTTTATTAGCTGTTCTCAGCAATGCAAGGGACCTAAGACATCTCCAAAAGTCTCACGATGAAAAATGCTGTCCACATCCAGAGAAAGAATGACGGAGTTTGAATGCAGATTGAAACATAGTATTTGCTCTTTTTTCCTTCTGTTTTGTTTTGTTTCTTCTTTCTTGTGGTTCCTCCTATTGGTTCTAATTCTTCTTTACAACATGACTAATGTGAAAATATTAAATAAGAGTGTATAGGTAGAGCCAATGTCAGATTGCATTAGGGGAAAGGAAGGGAGCGAGGAAAAAAAGGGGGAAATTTAAAACTCAAAAGCTTATGGAAGTGATTGTTGAAAACTAAAGAAAAATTAATGTTAAAAAAAAAAAAGAAGAAAGCTGAGAGGCTGGAGGCCAGAAGGATCCCTGTGACTGGACCTGCATTTCCCTGACCCTTGCTGTGTTAGCACAAAGCAAACCTCCTTGAGTTAACGTTCAGTGTAAGTGCCTCATTTCATCCCAACATCAAACCTGAACTAATGAAATGCTAGCTTAGCTCTGACTCTTACAATAAGGAAAAAGGGCCCAAAGACTTCAAGCCATTTAAATAAAATAATCATGTGAGTTACATGTAAATACAATTGCAGGACTTAGAATTACTATGCCTTCCTCCCTTCAAATGTTCAGCACAGGAACATTTCCTTCCCTGTCTAAACATTTAGACCAAGCCACAGGAGCAGGAACCCATATTTTATACTTCTATTAATCTTTCAAACTTTATGCTTGGGATATGTTGTCTTTGAAAGTATTTCTAAAATCTTAGAATCTTTGAAAACATTCCTAAAATCTTAAAATCTTAGAATTTTTAGAACTTTCAAGGAACTTTCCTGGGATTGACTCATCTGAACACCTGATTTTATAGACGAGAAAACCAAGGCCCAGAAAGGAGAAATAAGGGGGTTAGGGTGACAGGGCCAGAGACACAAAAGCTAGAAGAAGAAAGGTGAATGGGAAACTCAAGGACAAGAATAAGAGGGAAACTGGAAAACTGTGAGGGATAAGAAGATAGAGTTCTAAGAATAATAATCTCTTTCTCTTCTTTTTCTCTCCTTTCTCTTTCTCTTCTTTCTTCCCTTCTTTCTTTCCTTCCTTCCACCATTTCTTTCTTTCTTCCTCTCTTTCTTCCTTCTTCCATTCCTGGTTACAGCCAGTCATTTTGTGGCTAAATTTTTTGCTACCTTAGGAAAAAGAAATCTGTAAAAAGAGCTTTTTTGTTCTTTTTTAAAATTGTTTTGTTGTCCTTCCTGAAAAACTCCACCTTTTCTTTGAATTACAGGGAAAAGAAGGATTTGTTCTCACCTAAATCAAGAGGAAGTGGCTATAAGGGGAACAGGGATACGAGTGCTTCTGGAAGCTAACTCTGGGGACTAGCAGTAACTACCCCTTAGAAGGTAGAGTTGGTAAGGACAAAAATTCTGGTTAGAGAGAATTGGAATTCTACTGTAATTGTAGATCTTCCTGATCTATAAAATGGGCTTTCTGTCACACACACAAACCAAATATTAGCAAAGAGAATATTTTCCATGTAAGACCAAGGAAGAAGTCATGGGGGTGGAATTCTAGTGGATGAGAAAGAAAGGCTCTGGATCCCAAAAACTGATGGGGGCTACAAGAGAGGCCTGTTGACTACAAAGGAAAAAAAAACATTAGAGAGCACCTAGGTGTGATTTTGAAATACTTATACTTGTACAGATGGAGTAATGTGAAAATGACTTGTCACTGCCTATTACTGCTTATTGTTGGAATCCTAATATTTAAAAAAATAGATTTGTTGAATACTAGTAGAATCAAAGGGATGGTAAGGGGGATAGGTTGCTGGATGTGGGTCAGAAAGGCCTGGGTTTAAAACCTTCCTCAGATACTTACTGTATAATCCTCAGCAAAAGACAACCTTTCACCCTCAGTTTTCTTATCACTAAAATAAGAATAATAATAGCACCCAACTCACTCTTAGTGTCAGATCTCTTTTATCTTTTGTTAGTTTGAATATTTCATATTTTTGAAGATGTTCCTCTATTTCTTTTGCATTCTCAGTCTTTTTTAACATTACCATGGATAATAGGTTCTAGTTATTCTTTTTATTCTTCTGATTTTTGTTGTGAAAGTCAAAAGACATAGAACAGCTTTTTGGGAAACTTAAAAGGGCTAGTATATCAAGATTAGATTTAGCAATTTAGCAATTGGGACTGCTAGAGAGCACTGTAGCATAGTGGACACAGAAGTATCTCTGTCTCTCTCAGCAAGGTTATCTGGAAATACTCCTTTTTTTAACCATTAACTTCACCCTTCCAGTGTCCTACTTTTTTCAGTCTTGTGACTTATCTAAGGGATGATTTTGCTTTCTTTAAAACAAATTTCATCATCCACACCTTCGTAGGCCAATAATGTTCTACAATATTTTTTAGCTTTATATTTGCCTTTGTTGTCTGCTTTTGCTTCTTCTGTATTCTGACTCTGTGCTGTTCAGAATCTTAATACAGAGATTATTAAAGGTATAAACCTGTTTTCTTCTCTTCTACATCATTATTATTCATATCTGGAGCTTCACTGAACCAGAACCCCAGATAGTGGCCTATATGAGGTACAGGGAGTGGTAAATCAATCCTGAGAAAATCCAGGGTCCAGCCTGGAGAATACGGTGGGTAGTGAAACCCAGATGATTCACACATAATTTTGGTTCCTCTTTCCCTGTCCCTCCCAACAGCTTAGGTCCCCCTCAATTGGCAGTTCTCTTTTTCCACTGGGATAATTCAGCCAACTTCTTTCCAGAAAGAGTTTGTGGGTTGGAAGGGTGGTATCGTTGGGAGATTTCTGGTTTTCTAACAACATGAAGAAGGTGAAACCACACAACCACGATAAATGTATATTGACTTGGTTCAAAAAGGATGGATCCTTTACCTTCCTAGGTGGTAATCCTGAGTTCCCGAATAAAGGTGAGAGATAGCCCACGTCCAAACCCAGTAAAATGAAGCGAACCTTCAGAAGAGCCCTAAAGGAACAGAAATTTATTCCACCAATAGGGGCCAGTTGGTGGTGATGGGGTCAGAGTCTGGAAGAACTGGGTTTCAATGTGGCCTCAGACATTTACTAGTTATGTGACCACGAGCAAAACACTTAGCCTCTACCTCAGTTTCCCCAACTGTAAAATGGGGCTAATAAATAGTATCTACCTCCCAGAGTTATTTCGAGGATTAAATGAGATAATATTTGTAAAGAGCTTAGCGCAGTGCCTGGCACATAGCAGGTTTTATATAAATGCAAGCTATTATTCTTATTAACCCAAGCCCTGTTTCCCAGTACCCCTTCCTGGCTCAGGTTGGGTTCCTCCACTTTGGTGCCCTTTCCCAGTTCACCCCGTCTCCCAGCGCAGATTTTCCTCCTACGCTGGTCTCTGTCCAGCGGCTCCCCCAGGCCCTTTCTGCTCACCTTCTCTTTCCAAAAACTCTACCCAGAAAGTTCCTTCGGTGGGGCCGGCTTTGACCGTGCACTCGCCTCCCCCAGATTTCCGTGGACTCTGGAAATACTTTTGCAGTTTCCTCTCCAATCCAGAACAGCGCCTGGAAACCTGGACCAGGACCCGGTAAGGAGGACTGTGGGCAGAGCCGTCAGTGGCCATAGAGGCAGGGTCGGGACTCGGGAACCGAGGAGCCGGGGCCGCGATGTTTGTTGGCTGGGCTAACTGGAGTAACTGGGGTAACTGGAGAGCAGAGAGGGCAGAAGCAAGAGTTCAGTAAGCGCTCCCTACTTGCTCATTAACCCTTCTCTCCCCAACCCCCCAACACCACCTCCGCTCCAGATAGTTTTCAAACTTTCAGTTTCATTTCCCCAAAGCTCCTTTCTTATCCTCCACCTTCACAATTCGTTTCTCTGGTTGTTGCGGACCATGCCAAGGCTGTGCTGAGGTCCTCTGGCGGGAGGAAAGAAAGTCCATCCTGGACCTCGCAAGAAGCCCTTTCTCCAGCCTCTCTGCCCCCGCTCCGGCCCCGCTCCCGGATCAACACAACTCTCGAACCAGGACCCCTGCTCACTCCCTTTAGGTTGATGGGAGAGCCTTTGGAAAATGGGGTCAGCTCTGCTTTCAGATTCTCGTTTGGGGGAAGGGGATTCACATATAAAGCTGTCAAATTTCCAGAAAGACATGGAAAGCACCAACTCGTTTCTCCTCTTTTTTAAAATGACAGCGCGTATTTATTGGTAGACTCTCGTTCGAAATTCAGACAGAGCTTTACAAGGCCAGCCAGGAGCACCTTTCAGCTCCAAAGCTTTAATCTCATAGCATCATAGATTTAGAATTAGAAGGGACCTTAGAGATTAGTTAGTTTATCGCCCTAATATTAAAAAGGAGGCAAATGAGACTCAGAGAAGTTATGACTCACAAAAGGTCCCCCTGGGAAGGGAATAAACATTTCTATAGTGCTTACCATGTGCTAGGTACTATGCTACGTGCTTAACAAACATCTCATTTGATCCTGAAAACCTTTTTAAGGTAGGTGCTGTTATTATCCCATTTTGCAGATGAGGAAACTGAAGGAAACAGAGGTTAGGTGCCACACAGTTACTGTCTGTGGTTGGATAGGAATTCAGGTGTCAATCCTGACAGCAGACCCAGTGCTCTCTCCACTGCGCCACCTAGCTGCCTCTGGGACGAAGAAATTGAGCTGGGATTTTCAAAGCCAGAACAGTTTATGGGACCAAATTGTTGTTCTATTAATTATTAAGCCTAAGACAGAAACATCTTTAGTTTCGGTTTTTAAAAAGGGTGTTAGAATATTTAGTGTTACCTAAATGTGAAAAGCCAATTTTATTTGGATTTATTATTACACCTAGATGTTGAGCATGTCTTGAAAGACAAACATGTTTTATTATAAATAACTTACTTGATCTAAGCTGTCTTGAAGTTGACTTCTCAATGTATTTATATATCCTATCTCAGAATTTTTTGTTACATTTGAAATTATTCTGTAAACTTCTAAATGAATTCAGTTGTGTATTAGGGGTGATCATCTTATTAAAAAAAAAAAGGTGTTCTGTTAATACCTTCCTAGCACAATCTCATCCTCCTAAGGCAGAAACCAAGGGGAGGGACAAGCAGCCTAAGGAAAATAGCTAAAGAGAAATACTTTTAGTTGGTTTTAATAAATAATTGTAGTAAGATTAAGCAATTACATATTTCAAATACAAAATTTGGGTTCTGAATTTAAAAAATTTTTTCAGTTGTTATTTGAATTTGCCAGCCTAAAAATGTAAATTCTCTGGTCTAGTGATGTTTATATTAGTGCTATTAAGATTTGGGCTAACATTCACTACCTGCCCTGGTTATTGTCATAACAAACTAGAATTGCATTAAGATCTATTTTGCTAGAGATTTTTAACAGAGAAGGGGATCTCTGCAATTGGAGAAGCAAATCCACTAGAAGCTGTTATGGAGCCCTACTCATTCCAGTAATGGAATGCAGGACTGCATCAGGGGATATTTCAGAGACTGGACAATTGTATGAGATGGGATGAGACAGGATTTTTCTTTGTGTAATTTGAGGTGGGTTTGCTATAGGCTATCCCTATGGGGCTCTGTCTTGTGATAGTTGTGGAAACTTTTTTGAGGCTGCTTCAAGGAAGCCATATAGCCCCATATGCCACTTCAATAATAACTATTGTTAGTTGCTTTGGTTGTGCTGCTCATCACCTAAAAAAGTACCACTTTAAGGGCATGCCCTTTGGAGCCCACACTTGTATCTTCTGCAGAGCATCAGGAAATTTTAATGAGAGGCCTTGACTCTAATCTTCTACCATCAACACCCTCTCACACTCCACCTTCTACAACTGTTCCTGAACCTGCAATGACTTGAACTTTGAATACTCCTTTTCAGTCTCCTACTTTGGCTTTTGCTCCACCACCAACAGCAATGACTGTTCATTCTTTTGTTCATGGAACTCAGACTATTCCTTATTTCCCTCCACTCCCTATGTTAAAGCTATTTAGGACTGTTTGTGTTGTCTGCAGAGATGTTAGCTCTTATTACCGTAATGGAGTAGCTGTTTGTCAAAATTGCTTGAATCATTTTCATAAATTCAGTAGATTTCCAGAAGGCATATGTAGGGCATACAATGCTTGTGCCACTGCCCTTGAACATTTAAATGTCCTATGGTCTCCCAAGTTACATATCTTGTAGGGCATGTTTTGCTAAGAGGTACCTATCCCTCATGGTCCTTGGTTAGTGAGAGAGTCACTTCAAACATTTAATATATTATGAGTTAATGTTTAATCAAATGGAACACAATCAGTATGTTATAAGTTGTGCCCATTTCCCTCTTCTCTAATGTCATCTTTGTGCCTCAGTAAGGGGACTTCCCCCTTCTGGTTTTGCATTGCCCGTGGAGGATTGCCCTCCATGCATTTAGATTGCAATGATCCAAAGAAAGACTGGGGCCTTTATATGGATTGAAGGTGGGGGAATGTGAGAAATGAATCATCCGGACCCCTACTGTATTTCAATCAGTTTGCCATATTACATAAATCATACAGGGATAGATAGGTTCTGACAGTGGGCCACAACTCTAATGTAGCACTTGATACTAGTTTACCAAGTCGAGTCTCACTTACACAACCACAAGATTGCTGACAAAGATATCTCCATCCTGTTTTGCCCAGATTCCATGTCTAAACTCAGCATGGGTGGAATGTCTTCATGCTTGGGAAAGTCCTCTAATTTATTTTTGTACCTCCAGACCTGTCTCTCTTGTCCAACATTAGCAAGCGACCATCTTATGACCACTTAGTCAGTGGAGATGCCCCATGCTTCACACAACCTGTGAACCCCCTGCTGATATGTCATTTTTGGCCCTCAAGGGCAAAGTCTATTAACAAATGAGATTCTGCATTTTGCCATGCCTCTTTTGCATATTTGGATATCAAGCCCTATAAAAACAAGGTCCTGGAAGAAGGGGGCATCTCAGATCATGACGAAGACCTGATGTCCACTTCATTAGAGGGGACCATGGACCCTTTAGCAAAGTGCCGTTGGCTCGGAGCTCTGCCTTAATCTCTTTTATTATAGGTTGGACAGTTTTAATCCCTACAAAATCACAGGTCTGGGCAAAAAAAAAATTAAACACATATTTAAAGCTGGAAAGAATTGTGCAATCCAGCCTTATTTTAACAAGTAAGTAATTTGAGGCCCAGAGAAGTAAAAATAACCTGGCCATCATCATGTAGATAATAATTGGCAGAACTGGGATGCAATCCAAGCATCTTAATTTTAAATTTAATTCTTTTCATCCACTGCTATGCTATGATCCTACTTAAAATTTAATTTAAAAAGTGACAAACTGCTTTTCTGCAAAGTTTTTTTTAAAATAAATTTTGTCTGGCGTCTAAAGTCCTCTAAGATGAATCAAGATTTTATTTGTAGTCTATGATCTTGGACTCACCCTTATTTTGCAGTGTACTCATATAGGTTAATGTAACTAAAAGATTTACATTCCAATTCTCTACTTCTGAATACATTCAAAAAGGAACCACATTCTTAAGGGCAATATGAATTCCATCTTTGAATTTTCAATTAAACTTTTTTTTCCTAACAAACAAGGAGTCAAGAAATTAATCTTATTAACAAATGAGGCGCATTATCTCACAGCTTACCAAATCATCAACATAAAAGACACATGCAAAGAACATGCATGCATAGGTACCATACATGTAAGGACATACATATGGGCTTCACATGTGTCTAGGGAACATGTGTGAAGATACATTTTTCAAGAACTTTTATGCCCAGGGTACATAGATAGGGCAGCTCATACGTATGATGATTCAGTTGTTGTTTTCCTTCTCTTCCCTTCCTTTCCCTTCCCTTCCCTCTAGTTTTTTTTAATATAAATGTATTTATTTTTAGTTTTCAACATTCACTTCCACAAGTTTTTGAGTTCCAATTTTTCACCCCACCCCACCCTTCCCCCCCCCCCAAGATGGCATGCATTCTGAATATCCCTTCCCCTAGTCTGTCCTCTCTTTTATCTCCCCCCCCTTCTTATCCCCTTCCCCTTCTATTTTCCTGTAGGGCAGGATAGACTTCTGTACTCCATTTCCTGTATTTCTTACTTCCCAGCATGTGAAAACATTTTTTTTAAACATATGTTTTTAAAACTTTAGGTTTCAAATTTTCTCTTCCTCCCCCCCACCCACCCCATTGAAAAGGCAAGCAACTCAATATAGGTTATACATGTGCAGTTATGCAAAACACTTCCATAGTAGACATGTTGTGAAAAACTAACTCTATTTCCCTTAATCCTATCCTGCCCTCCCATTTATTCTATTCTTTCTTTTGACCCTGTCCCTTCAGAAGTATTTACTTCTGATTACCCCTTTCCCAATCTGCCCTCCTCTCTATCATCCCCCTGCTCTCTTGTCCCCTTCTCCCCTATTTTCCTGTAGGGTAAGACAGATTTCCATACCCAATTGAATGTGTATGTTATTCCCTCCTTAAGCCAAATCCTATGAGAATAAGATTCACTCATTCTCTCACCTTCCCCTTTCCCTCCACTGTAAGAGCTTTTCTTTTTTGTTTTTTTTTTGAGATAATT